ACACAAACGTTACATGACGGATGCTGGCAAAGCTGAACAAGTCGCGTTTGCCAGCTTGATTAATTTAGCAAAAAATGGTCACATTTGCCAACTAGACTAATTTATCAAAAAATGCCAACTTACCCTCCTGATATAAATACTGAAAAAACGACGGCTTATCCACAAATTTGTGCTTCCCATCCCATACCGAAGGATTAAAACGCTAATTAATAGGCCTTCGGAAAGAGTAACTTGGGCCTTTTCATACGACGCTAATTCTCTTGTACACTATCTCAGTGGTCATACTTACATTAGGACTGGACAGACAAATCTCAGCGCTCTAAGCTGTTTTATTATGATCTCGTTTCTCTCCCCCATAAACCTAAGTTTAAATTAGGCAAATAAAATCTCAAAGGCTGTCTGCAGATCTTGCAACAATAAAAAATACAGTAGAAGCAACAAGGGATGCATGACAGAGAACAACTTCGTTTTTCTACCACAACTGATTTGTCACCAGACTTGTGACGATCCTATTTGTCTCTCTCAATCTCTACTTTAATCCGCCATGTTTTACTCAATCTTAAAATATAAATAGACTTAGAAAAGCCGTCATTCCAAGTCTGCAAACTTTATAGAATATTCAGATTAGGTAACAATGTATGTTTAGGATATTAATGGCAAATCAGTTTCTTAATAAAAGAATCGTTAATTAAAACTCGGCTCACAAACAAGCCAAAAAATAGTATGCGCAAAGGTAATTTTACTATTTTAATGAGACTAAAAAGATTGGCAGATAATCTACGTAAAGTAAATTAACGAGAAAATAGTGACCTTTGTGATAGTTTCTGCATATAAATCATTATCTAGAATGGAAGACAGTTTTGATTATGCTGAGATGCCCCTGGAACAAGGAGAAGCGTTCAATGCGCATAGAGCACAACTTTACCATCGAGGCCATCGTTACCAGATTCAAAATAAAGTACGCTTGACGGAAAACCTGCTCCTCAATTGATATGAGGATGAAATAATCATACTTTCTAGACCAGAAGAGAAATGGAGTACATAAAGAGATTTACTGACTGTTTAGTGTTCAAATAACAAATGCCACAGAAAAATAGCATAGCACACATAGCAAAACATGTCTGGTCACTAATGAGGAGTTAAAAAAGTCTGCCATTCCTAATAATAGATAAAAGAACCAAGATATTGTGGCCTCTATTTTGGTCGCAGTCTCCTTTCGATTTATAGTAGTTGTTTGACCTAATTTTCGCAACTTGGCCACATTGGCAGGAAGGCATCTTGTTCGGAGTCCATAGTATGCACGATAAGCTTAAATGGAACCGTAGACTTGGGTCATTCCCAGACGTTTCGCCGGCATCTTCAGTGAAGCTTGTCATTCTCAGCCCTAAACTCAACTCGTCAGAGACAAGTTAAGTCCCTACCTTGACCAACTCTCCGTCGAAACGAAATTGTGTCACAGAAATTGACGAATAACCCATTTGAGATGCAGCAGGAGTAAGATGTTCACAGCTTGCTCAGGGAGCACGGGTTTGATAAAGAAGAGGATGCGGAAGGCAATGCCCAATATCCGCAGGCATGAGAATCAGAGCCTAGGCGCTCTGCAGATGTGGCGACATGGTACGTACTAATGAAGGCTAGAGAAATAGCACCTGGAGTAAAGGTACGCTTGGGCCGGAGCAGAGTGAAATCGGTCAACCAGAATTTATAAGAAACGGACCCACGGGCCCATGAGGTAGATCCGGACAGGAGACTAGAGCAGGATCAGCCACTCAAAAGGGAGGGGAGCAAGACAAACAGCGGGTGTGATGACGCCACGGTACATTCGCCAAACGGGCACATCTCTTGTGGAATATAAACATGTTAGAAGTTGTGATAGGACGAGGATGAGACAAGATAGTAGGAAATGAATAGAGCGACCAGGACAAAACGAGGAGTGATAGCACAACCGCTTCAACGGAAAGTTGATCAAGAGGTTGACTTCACTTGTCTCTGTGCTGAGAATGGCAAGACCCAATGATGATACCGGCGAAACGTCTGGGAATGTACCAAGTCCAGGGCCAGACTCTGAGGATTATCATGCATACTATGGACTCCGGACAAGATGCGTTCCTATAGGTCTTCCTTTCAATATGACTAAGTTGCGAAAACAAGGTCAAACAAGTTGTATAGTGTTGATTTGACCTCGTTTTCGCAACTTGGTGTGAGTGACAGGAAAACCTTGCGAGACGTAACTAGTCCTGTTTCCTCTGCCGCAGGATTCATGACAATTCCCAGCATCGTTACTGAGAGGCAACATTCTTAGAGCAGAATTATAATCCATAAAATTGATAAGTGAAGGAAATCTTATAAAATAATTTTCTGTCCAAATGTAGTGGCAGCACTCATCTCCCTTTTTGTGCTATCTTCCAGTGTTATATCCATTTTACTCAACCCCACTTTATGTGGTGGTGGTTCAACCTTGTTTTTGCAACTTGGTCGGAGCGTCAGGAGGACCTAGTCCAGTCCTCTGCCATAGTATTCGTGACTCCCAGCTTCGGACGATTGACTTGGTAAATTCCTAAACGTTTCGCTAGCGACGTCAGTGATAAATGTTTTAGAATATACCAAGCCATTGATCGAAGCTGGAAATCACGAATACTATAGCAGAGGACACAGGACTAGGTACGTTGCCCAAGGTATCGCTGGCGCCCCGACCAAGTTGCGAAAACAAGGTCGGACCAACACTATAAGGCTAAATGAGACTGCAACCAAACAGAAACCCACTTCATATGGCCTATGTGTCCATCCACACCATTCAGTGTTCCCATTTCTTCTAACGTCGATTAAGAGCGTGTCACTCAAGTGGAATTAGTGAAGCGTAATCACCTCCGCCACCGGTTTCAGATGCCGTTCGCAAGGCGATCATCAAGTGATTAAGTAAGGACATCTAAAATATGCTAGGACCAAGGGCATCTATTCAACAAGAGGAAGAGATATTTCCAGGAAGAGGATCATGAGGGACAAAGGAAAGTCAATAAAAGGCGATTGCAGTAAGAGGAATCAAACTCGATTTCAGCTTAAAAAGTTACAAGTGTCTGTCAATTTATGGGATATGAAATTAAGGCCCACACACATCCAAATTGTACATAATGGAGCTTGCTGGGCTAAAGATCTAGGTCAATTTCAAATTCACCTGGGTGTGGAAACCGATCTGGAAGCACAATATCAGTTAGCATCTAGTATATGTGCGTATGATTTTGCGTGCCTATAATGAGGTAGTTGGTGACGTGCCTGACTAGGGAAGTTACCAATCAACGTAGACAAGCACAGCTGACTATAACCTTAGGATTGGGTGGGAACGTCAACTTGAGACAAGCTGAGTGCATTTTACGTAATTTAGGAATGGAAACAAGAAGCGGTCCATTTTAGCTAAATTGGTTCCGAATCAAACCATACAATGTCTGAGATAATGAAAGAGAATGGGGGGAATGAGAAGTGGGATAACTAGGTCATGGATTTGTAGTCTAGGGATTAAGAAGCCTATAAATGAGAAACACTGGCCTTTAAATTCCTGAATATGAAGCAAACGGTTGCCGGAATAGAAGACATATGAGCAGTCAGATTGCAGAAAGCCAGACAGTGATTTTCATGTGTAACAGGGGAAAAATGGGAAGCGATGTGTAGAGGGGCTAAATGAAAATCAGAAGACTTGCGAATCTCATCTGAAACCGGTATTGAAGGTGAATACGCTTCACCAGCTCCACTTGAAGCGGCACACTCTTAGGCTAAGTTAGAGGAAGCAAGAGCACAGAATAGTGTAGCTAGATAAATTGGCCATATGAAGTGGGGTTGAGTGAAACGGATGCAGTACTAGAAGCTAGGAGAAAAGGAGAAGATGGGTTGAGCATAAAATTGTTTTAAAGGAATGCCCTCCTAAGAACGATGTTTCTCACTGACGATGACAGCGAAACGTAGGATAATGTAGTAAATAAACTGTATGATGTTGAAAATCATCATGAATAATATGGCAGAGGAGAACGAACTAATTATGTTTCATAAGATCTTGTTGTCGCTCCAGCCAAGTTACGAAAACGATGTTAACTCAACATTATCATTCCTTATGTCTAACCTACTCACCACCAAGGTTTCGTCAGAACTTGAATGTGTATCTCTGGATTCAAGGCTTGTGGGATGAGGGAGTATGAAAGGGGCCGAAGTGTGGTGGGGAAGTAAATTTCGAGTCCAAGAAAAAAATCGATGCATAAGGTCAGGCACTAGTACATACCAAATGTAACCGGACTAATTATTAGTCAATATAACAACAATTAATGGTAGATACGGTTTTAATGTTAATCGAAATTCTAAAGTAGTTTTATCATCAATATATCATAAGCAAATAATGTACAACTATAAACAAAGAATGGTATCAGAGAAAAACGAGTTGGGAAAAATTATAGAGTTCTGAAAAAAAGACATCGGTAGTGAAAATTGTCTCAATTTAAGACAAAAAGTAATAAGGCAGATTGGTTACAAGTACAAAAAGGCAAAATACGTGATATAATGTAATAATGTGAAAAATGCTATTTGGTGGTCAACCAGGCCGACGCGATTGGGACCACATCATCTTTCAATTGCCAAACATCTTGACCTCTGAGGCATCGGTCAGTGGAAGGCTTTGCACAGAATGCCAGGCTGCGTAAAAGAACGCGAAAATCGATTGCACTTAACGCTGTCATCCTCCTCGTCGTTGAGGCTACTACCGGCGCATCCAAGTTTTCTTCTCCAGGATCGGCCAGAATTGTGCAATACTTTTCGGACAAAAGGGCACTTGTGACTAGATGACCAGCAGCCTTCTGGCTGGCGAACAGAAAAAGAAGATCAGCGCCCAGCTCCTATGCAAGTAAATAGTATGCATTATTAAGGCAAATAGATTGGTATTATCATAGATATTATTGTTGCCTATTATGATTTATTTATAAGACTGAATTCGTACGATATAATCTTTCGTAAATCGCTTCATTCGACTGCAATTCAATCAAATACCAGTAAGTATTAAATAAATATATTTCTTGTCCATCATCTAGTAAGATTGTACAGAATATTAACTTTTAAATATTTGATGTAT